TTTTAGTTTATTTATAAATAAACTAAATTTTTAAAATATTTATTATATTTTATTTAATTTTACTATAAAATATTTATTTAATTTTACTAATTCAGCAGATCTATATTAATAAAATTAAAATACATTAATTATAAACAATAAAGATTTAGGTTATTCATATTTTGTGAGATTTTTATATAAATAAATTTGTTTGGACTGGCCAGGTATATATATATATATACCGAAGTGGGACAATTTATTAATGATATAATCAACATAAAAATTATTACAAAAATAGTCCAAAATACAATAAATAAAAAATAGCATTGGTACATCGTGGTGAAGAGAAAAGGCATAGATTTAACATCGCAGATATAGAGAAATAATCTATAAAGAAAAGATATTTTTATATAAAAACTCCTGGAAGCGATAACGTTTACAGAAAATCAGATTCAAGAAACATAAGCCAAAACTTTACAAAGCTTTTAAAAAAGGTAAATAGATAACGTTAATTCGTAATGCTGATTAACATAATCAATAAAAATTAAACTCAATAGGGGAAGTCTTGGTATTGTAGTGAATCAGTGTAGACAATTAGTAATAATAATATGAAAATGGTGGTGGAAAGGAAAGAAAATAAGGTAAAAGTTTTTAGTTTTGTTTTTTGACGTGCATCTTTCTGTGATTAAATAATTTCTCCTTACCCTCCCTCCCAAAAAAATATTTTTACTAAAATAGTGTTTATAAAAACGATTATTTGAATTATGACATTATAAGGGATTTATTAAATTGCAGGATAGGTGATGTTTTTTATGAAATGAGAGAAAAGAAATGCTAATTGTAGAGATTGAAAAGAAGAAAAAACAACAAAATTTTATATTTAATTAAACAATTACTGCCTTTTGAGTATTATACCCCGAAACTGTTAGTGCAAAAGGTCGTATGTAAAATTGAGTTTATTTACAAAAGAGCATAAAAAAAACAATTATGTCATTATTAATATTACTATAATTTCATATTTTTTTTCGTCTGCAGTTGTCTTATTTAGTAGACTACTTTTAGCAGTTTCTGACAACAAAATGAGGTGCAAAAAGAATAAATATGTAAAATTGTCATATGCGACTTTGTCCAATAACAGTAGCGACATATATAATTAAAATTTTTATTTAAAAAATGGGATCATGACTAATTTTGTTTAGTTTTTTTTAAGTTTTTTGAGAATAGCGTTTTTAGAGATGTAAAATCATAATTGTTGGTAAAAAGATGTTTTAATTATTAAATAAAAAGGTGTGATATTAAAAGGTTTTTGTTTAAAGTTAATCATGTATTGATTAAACATATTAATTAAAAATGAGTATATTGATGGATAAATCTTTCTTAATAAAAAAAATTGTATGACCCTTTTATCCTGCACGTGCGCCTCTATCTTCTCAGTACTGCCCTACCGACATTTATCTACGATATTTTGTGTTGGCAATATTAACATTTTTCATCCTAGACTGCCTAACTTATTATGCTACATAGAATATATTTCAAATCTCACATTAGCTTCCTTGATACATAGCAATATGTATGTATTTTTGTTAAGTATATCCTACACTATTCTAAAAAGTGGCACTCCTGGGCAATATCGCGTAATAATTACAAGCTATCACCTTTTCTAGAATAATAAAGGAAGATTGATCTTTTGAATCTAAAGGGAAATATAATTAATTTAACTATTCTCACATACATCTTCTTTACATTCTCTGCTTTGGAATTAGCACAATTTTAGTGACAAAATGGTAAAATTTTAAAGATAAAATGGTGTGATTTGGTGAAGTTTTTAAAACAAATCTAGTTCGTTCAATCACTTCATTGGCTATCAATCAACACTAAATCAACCTTATTTACGTTATTTCGGACGTACAAGATTTGAATCGACTATGCTAAGCATTAATACTACAGACCTCGTAAGATGTAGGAGACATTTTGAATCATTATATCTGGAATGTATTGGTCTTCTTTTATTGCACTCGAAGGTAAATTAACTTAGCAGAGTAATGAATAATATAGTATATTCAGAAATAGAAAAATTATCTTGAGTCAGAAATGTTTTACACGAACTAAATACAATAGAGTACGGCAAATAGGAACTCTTGGAGGAGGTTGAGAGCTCTTCAAGTAAAGTGCACTCGCAGATCGTCATTTTGCTTCGATGCTCATTCCTCGAACACGCCTCTAACCTCGCTTCATATCAATACCAGAATTAAAATTTAAACTACTAAAAGAGCAATGGATCTGATCATAGTATTAATTTTTAAATTAAACCATTTGATGCGATCGTGAAAATTTTTGAATCTGATTTTTCAACGAAAATATACGTTTTGGGGTACCCTGAGTCCAAATAACCAAGTCCCAAAAAATGGTTTGTGTGTCTGTGTGTTTGTATGTCAGCAGTCTAACTCAAAAACAAAAAGGCCTACGAAACTGATATTACTTAGTTAAGATAGATATATGCATTAGATATGACAGCAACTTTTCCCTTGAAATCGGCTAACCGGAAGTGCCACTTTATATCACCGCTGAAACACATTTTTATAATTTTCACAAAAACGGCTCTAACGATTTTGTTTAAAGTCAATGTATCATTTGTATAATTAAGTCGTTTTTAATATCAATCGGGTCTTATCTCTATTGATGCCACTTTACAAGGCGTAAATACCCAATATTCGTATGCGTCTTCCTCTAAAGTACCTTTAATAAGGTTTATTCTACATAATTAATCAACTCACATTATTAAGAGTTACAAAAAGATGCTAAATATAACTTTTGAAAGAATTTTATATTTAAATAAAAGAGAAAAACATAAAAATGCTTATCCAGTTCGAAAATAAATTTCCGGAAATACTAGTCAGAAGATGTACGTATAATATATCGTTAGAAAGCTGAGAATTTTAGAAAAACAATATCTAACATAGAAATTTGTAAAATAAACCAATTTCGGGCAACACTACTACTAGTAATTCGATCCATAATCATTTATAGGTTAAATATTCAGATATACCTTCAAACCTCTGTAGGCATGTCTGAGCCTTTCGGTTGACAGAATGACTAAATCCAATTTCAACATTTTTTATTATTAATTTTAGTGATGTTTCTAGTGACAGAATTTATACCTTTGTTCACAGTTCTATATTTCAACACTGCAATCACTTACTCGGTAATCAACTTATTCGCTGTATGTATAGATAACTATTTCAACAAAAAATATCACTAAAATGACATTACTCAAAAATGTTGAAATTGGAGTTAGTCATTCTGCAACTGAAAAGCTCAGAGACTGAAGTTGTATGGTATATGAAAGCAGATGGAGTGACTAGATTTTTATTGCCTAATATCGATATAATAGAAATAGACTTTTTGTAATTATAATGGACTTAATGACTTGTTATCCAGCTTGAAGTTTTAGCTCCGTTTGAAATGCATTTCAAAAATTGTATAATAGCCCAGCATTGCCAGAAAATAATTTTTATTCAAAGTAGGGCGGTAAGTGAAAGTTGTGTTTTGTGCGCACCAGATTTTTTAAATTAGTATTTGTTAAATATCCATCGCAAGCAGCCCATAATTTAAGTTTCTTAATTGCTAAATCTCTTACCGTCACAGGACAACCATATGTGAAGAACTATATATATATAATAACCATATATATATATATATATATATATGGTTATTCAATGAGATCTCTCATCCATCTCATGAAGAGCAAACTACTGAAGTTGACCGAACTTAGCTTCAATACGCCTATTGGTGTGACCCTGGAGTTACGATTGGCTTACAGTTACATGTTCCTTTGCGGTTGGCTTCACATCTGATTCAAGTTCCATTAATAGTTCAGAACAAACTATATAAATTTAGAAAAAAGTGGTTTTATAAATATTTAGTTTAATTAAATAAGTTTTAAAAACTAGGAAAAATGATACGAGAGAGGAACTGTTGGCGAAAAGTAGGACAGAGATACTTGAAATCGGTGAACCAACAAGAAAAATAAAAGCGGGAAGGGATTCCGAAAAGAACTTTATAAAAAAGATTCATAAGTTAGCCTCATATGCAGCCCTCCAGATAACCCTCCGAGCACAAGCAACTCTATGCGAAGTGTAGAAAAACAAGAGATATTACGAGGAGCTGGCTGTTCTTTTGAAGAATGGAATCACGGAACCTTAGGAGGTGGTAAACACTTTAACGACCAAACAATTTGAGTGAAACTTTCTCCGTGGACTAAATTTTTTTTTCACTCAAAAGTAAATATTGTTAAAAAAGTATCATGAATTATTTTTCAGAATAATTAAATAACGATAATTAAAAAAACAGACCAGGCGTATACGCCCGTGATTGTCCGTAGGGATATTACAGTTTTTTTTTTTATTATTTTAATTCTTATTTTCATATTTTTACTGTTAACAGTAATTTCATAGGTATTACGATAAGCGTTCTTTAATCATATTTAGATTATTTTTGGAAATTTAAACAAACACAAGCTTATCTGTGGATATCAATACGCCTATATGCGTATACGCTCGCCGTGATCCATTGGGTAAATCGGTGTGGTCATTAAAGTTTAAAGGACAATAATGGATCTAATTTGGTTAAAATGCTCTTACAGGCTGTTCAGAAATTATGCGTCGTTTCCTGAGATATACCAAACGTTTAGATGATCATGATAATGTTAAAAACCATACGATACCTGATTTAAGGTAAACAATGCAAAATCAACACTTCCGACTCAGTTAGTTACATTTACGACCGGTAGAAATGTACCGTAATATTAACATGTAGAACTTGCAATGTTGATGATTTGCATCATCCTGAGTTAATCATAACCTATTACGATGATAGAGTACTGAAATTAAAGTTTCTATTGCAGCCATTGCCAATAAAGATGTTTTATTACTTATTGATGCACTACTTTTTCAGTTTATTATTGCATAATTTTCAACTAATGTTTATGTAAATGATTATCACCAACAAATTCTCACACATTCCTAAGCAGAAAGCTTTCCAAACATCGACATGTCCAACAAGTCGTAGTAAACAATAACGGGATTGCAGACTAGGGTGCAAGAGGCTGCAATTTTATTTGCCTGAATATTGGTCGCTGAGGGCTGTACATCACTCCTTTGTCCCTTCATAAACTCCCCGCTCAATGGACAACAGGTGTCCAACAAATTTTTATCCAGTCCTACACAACTGTTGCAATAGAATTCTCAATCGTTAGGAGGTAATATTTCCAAAACTAATCAATATTCATTCACGAATATAGGCGAATTGAACTAATAATACTAAGGAAATCATATCGTCAAAAAGTAATAAAAAATCAGACTCAAGAACTAAGCCCATTTCTATTGAATTTATTTCGGATGCTATATTATGCAATGCAAGTAGTACATAATATTACCCTAATAAAAAACAAATATTGTTTTGTTATTAGCGGTTTTCAGGTAATTTTATTAGAAAATGAAACAATGGTTCAATAATTTAAAAATAAATGTAATTTCAACTCTTTTTTTTTATTACTATTTCTTAATGATATTAAATAAATCCATCTAGTAAATTTGAACATATGGATATAATAACGTGAAAACACTAAATAACTACCCAGTGGTAGCACTCTAATGATATGTCTTCATTAGGAGATCACGGGGCCATCTTCTTTCCAGATGCTTCTGAGGGTTATCAGGATTGAAGAGGAATCAAGGTTAGAAACGAGAGGGTTGGGATGATTCTTAAGTTTATTATGGAAGGATTGGTATCTGGATTGGGCCAGATCTGAAACATAAGGAACATTAAGGTCTTTACGGATGGTTTTATTTGTAACAAAGTAGAGAGCATTAAGGATTTTACGAAGGATTATGGATTGGATACGAGAGGAATTCGATGGTTTAGTGGAGCCCCATAGCTCAACTCCGTAAGTCCAAATAGGCCTTATAGTCATGTATATGAGTCTTTTGTGATTAATAGGAAGTTTAGAGCGTTTGTCTAGTAAATGCTGACGTAATCGGAAAAGTCGAGTGGTTTCTTGTCGTTTCAGTCTGATTTAATTTCAACTCAAAACAAATAACTAATAAAATTAACTTTTAAATCTATATTTTTGTGCTCAGTAAATATTATGAATGTATTTTAAGCGAATAGCAATTTTGAATTTTCCTCTCATAAAAAATATGATGATCATTGACATATTTTAAAATGGTTCTAGTCTGTTGAATGAAATTACCAAAACTACCATTCTGTTCATTTCATGTAAGAGAGACAGCCTTCCAGAACCTGATGTCTAAGTATAAGTGCTCACAAATGTGAAACCATAGCACGCAATCACCAAACCTACAATACCAGAAGGCAAGGAAGGTGTGGAAAATATATGACCCCATGAAGGAGACTACTTGAAATAAAAGACGCACAAAATACTAGTTACCAAGCTGACAAAATAGTTGTAAAATCTGAAGATAATTCAGACTCAAATAGTTTACAAATTGTAGTGGTACAATCAGGACTGCATAACATTATTGTACTGCTACCAGCAAAAATTCGTTTAAATGGCAAACTAGAATGAAAAATTAAGTAAAACGAAATAATATTAATGACTATCTGCTTAAAAGATAATTTTAGGTGAGATGTTTGTACATCTGGCTGTAAAGTATATCTTTATTCCTCGCTAACATTCCTTTTTAATGGTTGGTTGTTTTGACGTTTTGACGTTTAGCGCCCGATCATCAAAATAGTACTACTATTAAAATAATTGGCTGGTAGCAGGTCAGTTAAAATAAAAATAAATAAACATACATAAAGCCATAGAAAGAGAAAAAAAGATAGTACTCTATCGTTAGGATCCCCAAAGACAATAATATAAGCTCCACTGTGAGAGAAAAACTCGGAAAGTATCAGGAAATGACGATTGAATTAAATGAATTATTTCATTTGCAAAAAGTTACCATTACGCTGGTTATAATATCCTTTATTGGGCTGATGCCAAAGTCAACGTTGGCGTTCTCTTAGACACAAGACAAATGGTTGAAAAATTTCTAAATATTGGAAAACGAAATATGAAGATGACTAGGCTTGTACCCCAACTCAGTTACTCAAATCGCAAAAACGGAAATATCGGGAAAATCGGGAAAAAAAATAATAACGAAATTTAAACAAATATAAAAATTAAGTAATTGAAACAAAAAAAAAACATATATATATATATATATATATATATATATATATATATATATATATATATATATATATAAATACATGCGATTATGTATACAAAATTAAATAAAAGTAAATAATTTATAAAATGAATAAATTAAATATATACAAAGAATAATGAATAAAAGGGAAGATAAATAAAAAGTATTATTATTGTCATAAATATTTTATTAAGTATACGCCATTGCTATTAATATTATTATTATTAGTCATAAACGATATTGCTTTGAGGGATCTATTAAAGTCGTTTTCCAAGGCTTTAGATATGCTTTATGATGTTCCCATATCCCTTAACTTAGGATTGTAAAATAGGCATCGTTGGATAATGGGGGTTATGGACAGAATATTAATACAATATTGGCATCTTGGTGGTGCAGTTTTAAAGATGATCGGGAGGTAAGTCAATCTTGAATAGAAAATCCCAATCAAAAGTATCAAGGGGTTTCGTCAAAAATTAATTTTTTAACCGAAAGAAAAACACTTTTTTAATGTAAAAAATGATGATTAAAATGGACTTTTTTGTCATAATCTGGAGGGTGGAGAGGGAGGAGGAGCAGAATCGGAAGTTTCCTGATTTTTATCAAGTACAACATATATTAAAGCTAATTTCTTTCTTCATCCCTCTTGAACAAATCCGGTAACTTGGACTCCACTTGGACAAACGTCTAACTTAGAATCCCGACTACTCCAGCACTTACTAGACCGGAATGTGTCTGAGTAAGGAAGCTGGATGGAATTAAAGAGTACTGGTGGACAGGAATTGCGTCGGAGTGTAAAGGTAATATGCTGGCATTTAGATTCATTAACTTTAATGCGCCAGTTATTACACCAGTGCTCAATCAAGGTGAGATGGCTTTGGAGATTTAAGGATGCTATTTCGGGATCAGAGTTGGATGATAAGATTGCAGTGTCGTCAGCGAATGTTGCAAGGAAAGTATCGGAATGAACAGGGATGTCAGCAATAAATATGATGTAAAGTACGGAACCCAAGACGCTGCCTTGGGGAACACCGGCTTTAACGGAGAAGATATTAGAAAATTCTGTTCCACAGCGAACTCGAAAGGAGCGGTCAAAGAGGTAGGATCGGAGGACTAGGTACAAGGACTGAGGTAAATGGATTTTAAGCTTGAAGAGCAGCCCGGAGTGCCATACCCGGTCAAATGCCTGTGCAATGTCCAGAAATTGCACCCGAACAGTACAGTATTCCTCGTTTTCTAGGGCTGAGGAAATATGATCAACAACTCGGAGTCCTTGTTGAACAGTAGAATGTTGAGAGTGAAAACCAAACTGGTGGGAAGGAATATTTTGGGATTCTATAATGGGTAGGATTCGTTTCAAAAGGATCTTTTCAAAAAATTTTGAAAGGATTGGGAGTAGGTTAATTGGTCTATAGTATGTTGAGCTATTGGCAGGTTTGCCTGGTTTTGGAAAAAGGATAATAGTGGAGTGTTTCCATAACAGAGAGAAGTGGGTGGTGCGTAGGATACAATTGTAGATATATGTAAGGAATATGACTGCTTTGGATGGAAGTTGTCGAAGGATTTGAGGGGTAAGGAGATCATGTCCAGGAGCTTTACGGGGGACTAGTTATTTAAATTAAATTTCACTTCGGAAGGACGAATAACTTTTGGTGGCAAGGAAAGGTGTGGGCAGGATGGGATTCCGGAAGTGAAATAAAAGTATTGGATAGGTGAATGGCGAACTCCTCAGCCTTATCTTCGTCAGATGCTGCCTAGGAGCCATCATCTCGTCGGAGGGGATGGGAAATGCGGTAAGGATTAATGATTTTCGTTGTGGTTTTCCAAAGAGGGAAGATAGGTAGGAGCTGAAGAATTGTGATCTGAAGGTGGCTAATTCCTAGTAATAGTTATAGGAGCAGCGGTCGGTAGGATGTCGTGTACGTTGCCACAATAATCTGGCACGGCGTTTGGTGTGGATTAGGTCAAGGAGGTATTGGGGAGGAATGGCCTTTTTAGAAATTTTGGAGGAGTCTTTTGGGAAGGAGGCAGTCCAGGATGCTTGATGGATTGTGGTAGTAAAGGAATTTACGTCACTATCAAAGTCATCGGGAGTTTTGAAGGATATGTTAACATCAATTTTATCGGAGATGATTTGGCGGAAAAGGTCCCAGTTAACTGGGAACCTAATAAATGACGGTGGAGAAGGTTTGGGAAGTGAAACATTAAGGATTAGATGACTATGGTCAGAGGAAAGTTCATTTAGACGTGTAATGGAACAATTGAGGGGACTTAAGCCGCTGTGGATAAAGAAATCAAGAAGATCAGGATTACGTTTGGGATCTCTGGATCAGTAGGTAGGAAGGAGGTGAAAACGTTAGGAATTGAGTGCAGACAGCAGGGTTCGGCCACGAGAATTCGTGGTTCTGGAACCCCATTGTTGGTGCTTGGCATTTAGGTCTGCACCCAAGATGAAGTGATGTCCTATGGAGTCGAGGAGAGAACTGAATTGGGCATTGGATATGGATCGGTTAGGAGGGCAATACGCTGATGCAAGAGTAACCGGAAAGGAGAAGGTTTTTATCACGATAGCGGTGGACTGTAGGAAATCATGTATAGGTAATGGGAGTACGTGATGTGCTTTTCCGTCAGGGTGGTCAGTACGATATGTCAGGTATTGTGGTATATTGAAGTGCTGTTTAGTGGTTAGTCGAGTTTCAGTAATTAGTGTCACATCAATGTTCTTGTAAAGTAGATAGTAAAGTAAAGTAGATAGTTCGTCTGTATGATTTCTAACACCATTCGCATTCCAAAGGATAATGGATATGGGTTTAGAGATGTGAGTCATTTAAGGATTTTTAAAGGAGGGATGAGGTGAGATACGAGATTAGTGAGAAATGATATGAGTGGAGTAAAAAGGGATTTGAAATCGGCGAGGAAAGATGCTAACAAATTTGTGAGATCTGTTGTATTTGAAGGAGGAGGAATATGAGGAATTCGTTGTTGATGGTTAGGTATATTAAGATGAAGAGAATTTTTAGGTTGGGGTTGAGGTTGTTGTTGTGGCAGGGCTTGACATTTATCGGTTGAAGTATTACCTCTAAGTAGATGGGAGAATGATACATCATTGTTTACAATTCTGGGAGGCTCTCTCTCTCTTCTTGTTCTTAGTGCTTCATCTTGAATCCGGTTTTTCTGGTGTCTGGTTTTGAGATTCTTGTAAATTTGGCAGCCTTTGTAGTTGGCCGGGTGTCCCTTCAAGCATAGAGAATATACTGCTGGATCTTGTATAGGTTTGGTGCTCTCTACAGATTTGTGCTGTTCACCGCAATTCACGCAACGCGGCAGATGGTGGCAATATGTCCTCGTGTGGCCATAAGTCTGACAATTATGGCACTGTACGATGTCTCTCTTAGGGTATGGCTTCTCAACTTTCACCATTTTGTAGTATATTCTTGTGATATCATATATTTTTTCGATACCTGGTGATGGCTCCAAGTGCACGAAAAACGATGGTAGTGATATCCTATTTCGTAATCCTGGCTGCTCTCTGTCCTCCTTCAAAACGTTTGTTACCTGGCGTACATTGAAACCAAGCGTCGTTAGTTCTTCTTTAATAACTTCAGAGGGGGTTGAGGAGTGTAAATTTCTTATCACTACTCGTAACGCTCTTTCCTGCCTCAGCTGGTAAGTGTGAAAATTCGCATTTGATTCTGATAAGTACTTCACTATTTTTCGGTAGGTTTCAGCAGAATCAGGTGTTATTTTGGTGTCATTGGCCCTGTTAAGGCAGATTTTTTTTTAGTTGGGTGCAGAACATTTGGAATTTTTGATATTTTTCACAAATATCGGAGGAGGCTTTGGTTCTCTGGGTATTGCTGCAGACTCCATAACTTCTCGGTCATTTTGAAGCACTTGGTAGGTGTTTGGAGTAAAGAAAGGCGATTCTTCAATCATTTCTTGCGAAGACGTACCTGGGTGAGGCTGAGGTTCTGGTCCTGAAGTGTTCACTTTGGTCACTGGAGGTATTTCTCGTAGGCAGCGACGAGTCCTTTGTTTGGCTGGTGAACCACGTGGTGTACAAACGCCGTCTGACCGAGTCCTCTTAGGCACCTTACTGACCATCACTTGCTGATCATACCGCATATCATAAGAGAAAAAGAAAACGGGAAAAAAAATTAAAAATAACAGAAAAAAAAATTTCAACAGTAAATATCAACTGCTCTGATGCACACTTAAACTGTATTACGTGGATAATTAAAGAGATTCCGCTATAAAATAGGCAAAAACAGGGAGGAGTTGTGAAGACAACCTTCGCGTCAGCTGATCCACTGCCTTCTTCGGTCATATTTTTGCTCATTTTACTTTTTAAAAAGAATGAAATTGCGATTTCTCGGAACATTTGCAAGTATTTCAAAGAATGAGATTGAAAAATTAAAAAATTCAAAGAGAATATGATCGGATAGCATACCTTTATTTTAAAAGATTATTTAAAAATAAAATGTAAATCAAGTATTGTAGAATGCTTATTTAAATTTTCTGTTTTCAAGATTAGGTTTCAATAGTATTAAGATGAATTTTGTCATCTTAGATATACCCTCTGGGCCCTTTCTTTAAAGGAAATCAATGTTCTAACTTAATCTTAATCTTATACATATTCTTCATAATTCAGGGGACTGTGGTGCCATCTTAAATACTCTGGAGAAAAAAAATTAATGACAAACAAGGGAAGAACTTCAGAAGTTACAATGTTATCTTCTATACATGAAGCCTACCCGAACAACATACGATTTTTCGTCTTACTAAACAATAGAAAATAATATTTGATTTCACTTTAATAACTGTTTAAGGTATGGTATAATAATGGTTTTCAAACAAAGTACCAATAAAATAAAGAAAATCTTAGATGACACTAGTCCACTCTCACAGATTAAAGGAAATCGCAGTGAGAAAACTGTTGCAACATGTCTCAAAATAGGGCACACGAAGCTTACTCATGGACACCTTCTCTATGGGAAATCGCCACCAAGATGACGCAGCTTCAATATAGTTGTAACCACAGAACATATTTTAGTAAATTGTCCGACCATGGACAAATCAAGGACCTTGTATCCTCTCCGGAGTTATCGACAAGCCCTACAGTCTGAAAACTTAAAAAAATTGTTCCTATTTCTGAAAAAAATACAACTACAACAGACATATTTAAACGATACAACCCTTATAAACACACTTGCCATGCGCATCAGGATCAACCTATTCAGTTGTAACAGCAGATCGTTCGTAGACATATCTTAACAACACAATCTCAACAGAAACAACGGAATCTTTTCACAGACATATTTTTATTGAAATGCAATGAAATTGAATAAGGTGCCTCTAACGTTACCAGTTGCACATAACACCCAATTAAAACTAAATAAATAAATTAAACAATGGTTTTTAAAGCACGTAACAGACAGAAGTGATATATTTCCAGAAATGTATTTTTCTAAATAAGTGATATTAGTAAAAATTTTCATTGAGTACTTTTGTAACTTCAAGTTTCAATTATGTCTTTCAAGTTTATCCTTCACAATGAAAATTGGTGAACGTGTTTTAGTGAGAAAATAAGATCAGACTTTCAAATTTCAATATAATCTTACACTTTATTATATTTGAAACACATTTAGATACAAGTCAAAAGTAAATCTTAAAATCATCATTTTGCTGCATTTTCGTGTTCAGAAGTTCTACACTTATCTGGTTCAATCGCAGTGAAAGCACGCAACAGATTGATGAAAAAGTAAAAAAGGAGGAAAACAAACATTCGTTTTAATTGTTTTTGATTACCGGACGAACGGAAAAGAGATAAAGAGTTGTTTTAATCCTCTATCGAATAATTGACATGTTTTAATGCTTTATCGAATTGAATGTTATAGGAATAATTAAAATCATCTACCTCAGGCATTTGCGAAGTGAGGTTTTTTTTTTAGCACATACATAATTAATATCGTTACATTTCAATAAAAATAAATAAAAAATCTAAAATCACGGATAATGTTACGGTATATTAAGGTCCAAAAATCTGACTAAATGTAATAAATTAAACTCAACTTACCGATGAAGTCCAGGTCGGGTTGAGCCATCTTGGGAAGCCTTGACGTCCATGGTTGGCAGGATACAGTCTCTAAGGGATCCATTTCGTTCAGTCGTTCTGGAAATGAAATCAGATGTTAGAAAATTCTATATTAACTGTTAGAGTTTTTCAGAAATAATAACAGTATCAACCAAAGTAAGTTTAATAATTATTAATATATGAAAAAAAAACTCAGGCATTCAGGTGTGAATGTCGAGTTAGTTCATTTTATGAGTTTAAGAATTCGATTATCAAAATTCATCGATCATAAGAAACAATAAGATTTTAGTAGATACGTAAAACAAGATTATGTAATCAACCCGATCCTACTTTTCCCGATATAGTTCTATAAATAAATCTCTAATAATAAGGCTTAGCGAACCTGAAGATTCGATGCAGATTTATTATAATATAAATATAAAATATCGATGTCTGCATTTTTCCATCCACCGGGCACTGTCTGAACCCAATCCCGCTAGATCAGCCTCAACGCAATCTTCTCACATTCGCTCCGGTCTTTTATTTATTTATTTCCTCTTCCTTGCCTATTAGGCAATACGAGTGTTTGCAGTAGAGGAATGCTACACGTGTATGCATAACTATCCAATACTGCAATCGATACAATTAGATTTTCTGCCAATGGAATCAGTTTGCTTATTTTCTGTGGTGAAGCTTCTCTTTTATCCAAGTAGAAGTGGGCTGGGCCAATTACGTCTTTCTCCCTTACACAAAGGCCTTGTAGTACGGGTAGTTCTCTTTGGTCACTAGCTGAGGGAGATCGCATTCCGATAGGAAATAGAGCCCTTTCTCCTTCAGCAACTTAGCCCTCAGCGCCTCATAGGCGGTACAGAATAGTAAGATGTGCTCGGCGGTCTACAGTGCCCAACAACTTGGGCACAGGAGATCGATGTTGTCACCATGTTGAACAAGTTTTGCTTGGAATCCTCCATGCCCCGTTAGGAATTATGAGATCCAATGGTCCCGGAGGAACCATGTTGTCATTTCTATTCTTGAACCAACGGTGGAGAAGTATTTCCTTAAGGTTGATCCTTTTGGCGTTGTCACTCAACGCCGGTTCCATTCTTCTAATGTGCACTCCCGAAGAATTCTCTTCCATCTATTAGGGTCTTTACTGATCCTCACTCGGAGATTAGCCGGTAGATCCACCATCTCTCTTCATATTGTGCCGAAAGTAGTATTCACGTAGTTGAAGATAAATTGGAATATTGCCGGCTAAGACCTGTACCGCCTAATAAGAATCTGTCTTGTATGCCCTAGTGAATCGCAACAGAGCCATATCGCTGGATCGTCGCCAAACCTTTCTTCTGTTTGTGCGAGAGAGTTTGGCTCCATGCAGGGGACGCATATCTCAGGATACCCAAGATAACTGTCTTCTAAATTTCCAAAGTGGATGGGTATATGGGACCCCAAAAGGCGCCCTCGATGCCACTCAGTCCAGTAAGGGCCACTCTACTTCTCGGATAGTGCAAGTAAGGGGTAATGTTAAACTTTCTTCCAGTCCTTATCCAAATATAGGTATTAGCCTCACTTGGACGTATCGTTTCTCCCAGTATATTTGGAGTAATAGGGTGGGCCCTGTCAGTCCTATCTCTCAAAAGAATGGACTGAGTCTTTGAAGTCGCCATCTTTATCTTTTTTCTTTCGCCATCCTCCTACAAGGTAGGCGCACCGTTCAGCCTCTTCCTTAAATCTTGCTCTACTGTTCGATGGCACTACGACTGCCAGATCGTCTACGTAATTCGTGGTGGGGAACAGCTGCTCTTCCAACAGATAATCAAATACCAATTTTCACAAGGCTGGACCAAGTACAGAGCATCCTCTTTCTACAGAATCCTATACTGCAAAGAAGTTACCTTTTATCGTTAATTCTCGGTCCTATAGGTGTTTTCTTAAGATATCAAACAGGTTGCTGGTAGTTTTATACTTTTGCAACTGCTGGAGTACGCTCGGCCACCAAACGCTATCGAAGGGAAGGATATATCAAACAGGAGAAGCATAACATACTTCTCCGCCTACTCGTCAACGTCAGTAGTGCACTTTCCTTACTTAGAGTACTTTCCCTGCCTTTAGAGCATCCATACCGCCGTAGTAAATAGTACTTCAAAACTAGCTCTTAAGAAGAATATCACTCGGTCGCTCACCGTTAGGCAGAGCTCATATTATTTTTTTAGGAATTCTTTTGTTGCTAAGATCAGCTGTTTTATATGCCCATTTTCTTCTCCTCAACTTTATCATCTTAATTATTTTAACTGAGTACAGTCAACTGAGGATGCGCAATTCAGCGTTGTGTAACTGATTAAGTTCTCCGGCTTATTAATCCTTCTTCGATCTGAATATTGTACACAATACTTTATTTTCATAAACCTTTAACGTTGATCACCTCTTAATGTAAGCAGCCACGTCTCGCGTCTATAAATAAACTTAGAAAGAATAATGGATTTGTAAATTATATTTTTTTAACTATCGGCATAACAACCATTAGCAAGTATTTCCTGCCTTTAATCTAGCCTTAAATTTCTCTTCAATTTCGAATTTTATTTTTGTCATATAAATACCAAAACCTGTCTAAGTGTTCAAACGTATTTCCTTTAATAACTACAGCACCGCAATTGTTGCAATTTTTGTTGCTAACCATATATTTTGTCTTGTCCGTATTCATTTCGAACCCTAGCTCTTTACCGACTATAAATAGATCTAGGAAAATAGAATAATGAAAAAAAAAATTAAAGCAAAGAGTACAAAAGTGTAGGAGTAAGAACAGAAGTTAATAATTGTTCAAAATATTGCAAATTCTAACCATGTGTCACAGCAGTAATTTTTTAATTCTCTTTTTAATTTTTTTCAACTTGATAACTTAACATGTCACATATATGAGCCACAACCACCATATATGATAGTATTATAGCTAGCGCATTGGGAAGAACAGTATTTAACAGCACCTATCAGCAGCAGTCTTGGTTTGCCCCTGAAATTCAAAAATGGTGATCTTTCTTCCAACTTCTTTCAAGTCGCTTCCTAATTAGAGCTTTAGCTATATCGATAAATTGAACAACTAATCTATTCTGCTCAATAGTTAATCACTTGATATTACTTAATAACTTAAAAAATATATATATTTAAACATAATGCGAAATTAATTTTTTTTTTTTTGGCTTTGTAAATGGTTTGAAATTGTGAGATACGGTATTTTAAGTTAATATTGAAGATAAGTTGCTTACCAATTGGTTAATTTATTATAATTCTGTACATAGAGTTTGTATTTTTCGGTTTCATGTGGTTTTATTTATTTTTATGTTAACCATTACTTCGTAAAACCTGTAGAATCAGTACTGCGGCAAGTACCTTACTTGTGGTATAGTAACTAACTAACTAAGTTAGAGATCCTGGAATTATAGATCGTAGATTAGAGTCCCAAATCTTTAAAGAAATCTTTTTCCCGAAGGTTGCTTAATTAGAGCTGCAAGAAACCAAATTTCGTTGAAATGGGGCATCTTTATAAAGTGCTAATGACCTCTCTCGTCCGCAACCCAAATAAAGAAGAATTGTTTTACAGCAAAGAAACCGTTTGTTTAATTACCGTTCACTTCATAATTATTTTAATAATAATAATTCTAATGCGAATAAATGAAACTCTATATAATAAATTATTCAGGAATTGAAATAATTTGAGCAGTCATTTTTCACTATATGTTTATTTATAGATCGTATTTTAGTCAAACTGTCGAAACATTACCAAGAAAACAGATATTATGACATAAATGAACATATGGTGAAAAAAATAGTAGCACAAATTACTTCAATGCCAAAATAAGTATTTCCAACTTAAACTTAATAAAATGATAAAAAAATTATTCCAATATATGCTAGTTTGTGAGTAAGACTATACCTTACATGGGGAAGTTAATTCTTAATGAGGTCGGAATATTCAAACCAGGAAGCATAGGCAATATGAGAAAGCTGTATTTTGTCATGGTTAATATTTTAAATTTTAGGGAGCTAGAGAAATGAATTTTATACAACAATTTCTTCTGTATAGCGTATGATATATTGTTATATGTTAGTATGTAACTTGTTTTTGTCTTGTATTTGTTTGATTCATATTTTGATTTATTTTTAAACAAATATATTTTAATTTTTAGTAATAATTTTTTGTTCATACCAAGCATAATTGCAATGGCAATCCTTGAATGAAATGTGCGTTACAAAATTTAATGGCTTTGGAGCACGAGCGGATCCATTTTTTTTTTTTTTTTTTTTTTGTTTATTGAATAATAATACAATCAGCCACTGCTGGAGGGCTATAAGCATTAGGGCTACAAGTTCTCATTCATACAATATATACAAATAATAAAGAAATAAATATAAATATAATAAGTAAATAAATAATACTGGTGAAGAAGTTAAATAAAAATAAAATAAAATAAAAATTTCTAAACACAATCATACCTATATACAATATATACATTCGCCTAAGAATCTCCGAGCCAGGCTTTTTCCCCATACGTGGAAGGCGAAGCAAGACTCCGGGAGATCCCAGCGCCACTTTTCCAGCCGCCTCACTAGTATTAGAAGCCAATGGAGACTGAAAGAGGGCACTACAGCCACAGACGCTCAGGACATGAGTGGAGAAGCTGGCCATTGCCAGGACTCCAAAGGCATATTTACAAAAGATCTCGAGGCCACTGCCGTTTCAACCTTCGAGGGGGATGGTATGGATGTTCGGAGCTGGATAGGGATTGCGCTAGAGGATTGGGATGATGAATGAGGTTCTGGTGAAAGTTGGAGAATCTGGATGGGATGATGTCATGGACATATGGGATGTTAAGGTCATGGTGTAGGGTCTTGTTCGTGACATGATATGGAGCATTGACTATTGTTCGAAGGACTTTGGACTGGAAGGATTGGATGCGTTTGATATTCGATGATTTAGTTGTCCCCCACAGTTCAAGTCCGTAGGTCCAGATAGGTTTCAGTATGATCTTGTAGATTAATAATTTGTTTTCTGTTGAGAGATGAGATGTTCTGTTTAGTAGTCTATATAGC